CCTATTTGTGACCATCTTCCCCCTAGAGGGAATTTCCCAGACACCTCCCAGATTGGTGACTCTGCCTCCAAGGCCTGGAGGCAGCTTGGCAGGGGGGAGCTGTTGCTGCCTGGGGTCCTTGCCAAGCCCCACCCGTCCCAGACCTCCTGAACTGGAACCTGTCCTGGCCTGTACCTGCTGTACGTGGGCTTGGGAAGCGCTGGTCTTGGCAGTAGGTACAAACAAGGGCCCTTTTTCCTGAGGGTACTGGTAGATGTTGGGGTGTGACTCATGCACCCTGGTGGGTAGAAGGCTGCAGGCAGTATAGGGGGTGGGGAGAGCAGAATTCCTGGCCCAGGAGAGATTTATAGTGCTGCAGGCAGGCTGGCTTAATGCCAGGTAGGGGTTCAGGGGTGGCACACTGCCAGGAGTCATCACAGGCTGGGCACAGATGCCCTTCAGGCATGATGGGAGCACCAAAGCTCTCGTGCCTCTCGCCATCCCTGTCTGCTGTCACACACATGCCTCTCGCTGTCCCTGTCTGCTGCCACACACATGTGACTGTTGAGCTGAACTTGTTTGCACAGAATGTTTCCAAGAGTCATGAAGTAAAAGGGACATCTCAGATCTCCAGGGGAGCAAGAGAAGTAACGTGGCTGATGAAGGGTTCCTGTGTGGGCTACGTGCTGATGTGGCAGGGTCTTCAGTCTCAGGAGAAGGACTGCTCCCAGAATCCTGAGGGAGCTCCGATTGAGTAAGGTTCCCTGGAATACTTATGCCTAGGGACAGGGTGTAGAGAAGGGGGACCTCTTGGCTTTAGAGGTGGGTAGGAGGGGCAAGGGTAATTGAAATGTCACAGTTTGTACCTGGTTTGGCCATGGTGCTAAGAGGTGGTCCAGGTAAGGGCTCAGTGTGGAATATAGTTACAACTCCCAGCCACTCTGCCCCCAGGGTCACTTTCCTGAGCACGCCCCCCGCCCCCCATGAGTGAGAAAGTGACCCACACATCTTCCTACTTAAGCCTTTAACCTCTTCTCTGAACCCAGAGGTAAGGTCCTGATTCTGGCCGGCTAGCCATGCTTTGTCAAGCCTCTTTCCCTCCCTGAGCTGCCTATGACCTCATATGGAAAACAAAATACCTACCCCATAGGGGTACTGCGAAGATTAAATGTGAGGGTGGACATGCAGAGCCTGGCAAAGATGACGTCAGGTTCTACTGCATACAGTAGGGGCCCATAAGAGTCAGCTTTTTGGAGAATGGGCCAGGGATAGGGCTAACAGCGTCCTTAACCGCTGCCTACCCCGCATTCCCAGGCAGGGCGTCATTTGAACCCTAAGGGGCCCATGTTGGGCGAGTATCTCAAAGCCACCCTGCTTCCATCTGCAAAGGAGACTTTTAGTCCTTCAGCCCCCCTCTGAATGAAGTCCTCTGTGGGTCACCAGCTGTCCTGAGGGTCCCTCAGAGTAGGGGCACCATAGAGGGACTTTGCTGATCTTCCTAGGACAGACACAGCCTGGCTTTCTGGGAAGAAGGAGAAACAGCGCATTCCTCCCGAAATAATCCTACAGCTATTTCCAGAGCTCCTGTGCCCAGGCCAGAAATGGCCAGCGTTCTCCATGCCTGGATACCATCAGGACAAACAGCCCAGAGGCCCCACCCTCAGCTGGCTGGCTGCCTGCCTGCCCTCCAGGCCCCCAGCCCAGTGCTGCACCCAGCCCTGGCTCAGGGCTCTAAAGAGAGTGGTGCACACCGCTTCTCTTGTTTGAGTTCCCACACTCTTCTTCATCTGGCAGGAGCCTCTGGGTCCCTCTTCTCTACACCCTGCTTAGCTGACTCCCACCCTGAGGCAGAAGGGTCTTCATTCTCAGCAGCGGCACACAGAGGAGGTCCCAGGCCATCGGGCTACAGTGTCTGGTCATTAGGAAAAATGGGCTGGACCCAAACTGGAGACCATTCTGCCAGTGACTAGTCTGCTCCACTCTAAACCCTCAGGGGCATCAAAGATGAAGGAAGAGTGAGAGCATCTAGAGGTGTCTCTGTCAGTAAAGAGTTTGTGAGAAAGAGGCCTCGAAGTCTGGGTCCCCAGCATCCATGTAAAACGCTGGGTGTGGCAGTGTGTGCCTGTATCCCAGGATGGGGGGAGCTTCCTGGGGTTTGCTGGCTACCAATGTTAATAAATTTATGAGCTCCAGGTTCAGTGGGGTGAGCTGCCTTCAAAATGTAAGGCGGGGAATGACAGAAGAAGATACCAGACATCTACCTAGCAGTCTCTGGACTCCACAGGTGCACACATGCACATAGTATACAGGAACATATTCACATACATGCACACACATGCACATATGCACACGCGTATACAGGAACATATACTTACACATTCACACACATGTACACACAAACATAGGAATATATACACATGCACACATGGACACAGGAACATATGCACACGTGGACACACAGTGAGAGAGAGATCTCCAGACTGAAGGAGATGAAGGAGACATGAGAACTAACTGCATGTGGGTCAAGATGAACATTCGAGGGACAGCTAGTGAGATCTGACTTTGGATTAATGTGTTAACTTCTCCTGGGGAGACTTGAATGTTACTCACTGTAGATAGGGTACCAATGACAGACAAAAAGAAACAATTCCATCCAAAGTTAGATTGGTAAACAATGAATTTATTGGACTTCCTTTATTTTTGGTTTTGTCTTTTTTTTTTTTTTAAGCCAGGGTTTTTCTGTGTAGCCCTGGCTGTCCTGAAACTCACTCTATAGACTATAGACCAGGCTGGCCTTGAACTCAGAGATCCACCAGCCTCTGCCTCCCAAGTCCTGGAATTAAAGGCATACACCACCACCACTTGGCTTATTGGGCTTTTATAGAAGCATAGGAGGGGGTGACTTACAGGAGTGTGGGTGACACCCCCAAAACAACGCCAATGAAAAAGCTCACCCCAGCACTGGTGGTGACTTTCCAGAGCTATTTGTGCAGTGTTTCCCTCCTTATTTAACCCTATTTTCTGTGTACTCTAGACCCTCCCAAGTCCATTTACCACAGGAGCAGAATCCCCTGCAACTGGGAGGAGCACAGGAGTAGGGGGCTGGAATCTTGGGGGAGGGTCCAATGACCCTCCCTAGCCCCTTCCTTCTTTGAGAGAACATCAACAGGCCTGATCTCCAGGGTCTTGTAGATTAAGACGATAATGGCTGCTGTGCTCTACGGACAGAAGCCCACAACAGATCTTCCTATTGAGTAAAGGCTCTATATCAATGTCAAATGCCCCGGACCAGGAGCCTGTGAGAAGTTAGAGAGAAGCCTTGTCCTCTCAGCATGTAGATACACACTGGCGTCATCAGGGATGGAGCTGCTGCTGTCTGCAGCTTCCTCGGCATAGTGATGTTTATGTGCGTGACTTAAGTGCTAAGTGCGGAAGAGATGTGTAATCAGAGGATTCGAGTGCAGGACATGTGGGGGCCAGAAAGACAGCTCAGTGAGTATGAATAAAGGCTTGCCGAGCCAGATGACCCAAATTTCATCCCTGGAACTCACATGGCAAAATGAGAGAACTGAGTCGGAGGGGGCGGGTATGCCTCTAATCCCAGTACTGGGGGGAAGCGGGAGGCAGAGGCAGGTAGATCTCTGAATTCAAAGCCAGCCTGGTCTACAGAGCGAGTTCCAGACAGCCAGGGCCAGACAGAGAAACACTGTCTCGAAAAACAACGGGGGAAAAAAGAAGGAGAGAAGTGACTCCTATAAGCCGTCCTCTGATCTCTAAGACATATGCCTGCCTGTATGCAAACAGGCACAGAAGTAAAATGAAAAAAAGAGAGGATATGGCAGCTCATTATCTGCTAAGTTTCAGCAAGCTTGGGAGACTGGAAAAATATATATGTGCACATAGAGTATATATATATTATCTATCACAACTCCACATACACACATAGAGTATAGTGAATATATACATATAACACATATTATATATGCACATATAGTGCATATATTACATGTTCCACACTCTATATAGAGTATATATGATATATACACTATACACACAAATAAAGAATATAAACAATATTGGGGGCTGGAGAGATGGCTCAGTGGTTAAGAGCACTGCCTGCTCTTCCAAAGGTCCTGAGTTCAATTCCCAGCAACCACATGGTGGCTCACAACCATCTGTAATGAGGTCTGATGTCCTCTTCTGGCCTGCAGACATACACACAGACAGAATATTGTATACATAATAAATAAATAAATATTTTAAAAAAAGAATATAAACAATATGCACACTATATACACAGAATATGCATGATATACACATTACATATATACACGTAGTATATATAATGTATATTATACACATAGACTATATAGCATACATTCATTATATATATAGATATACACACACAAATGAGATATATTACATGTATATTATTTGAGAGGAGGACTGGTTTTCCAGTATTGGCAGCCACTGAGCTGTGCCTTAGTCTTCCCCACCGTTTTGTTTTCTGTGGCACTGGGGCTGAAATCCTAAGTCCTTTTTGTCTGTTCTTTGTTTGTTTGTTTGTTTGGTTGACTGACTGATTGGTTTTTGTTTTTTTTTTGAGACAGGCTTTCTCTATGTAACAGTCGTGGCGGTCCTGGAACTAGCTCTGTGGACCAGGCTGACCTTGAATTCACAGAGATCCACCTGCCTCTGCCTCCCAAGGGCTGGGATTAAAGGCGTGCGCCACCACTGCCCTGCAAAATACTAAGTCTTGAACAAGCAAAGATCATGTTCTGTCAGGTCTTGGACACTCTGAGGGCTCTGCCTTCCTCTCACCTCTCACCCTTCTTTTGTGCTTTCAGGAGAAGTCCTGAGCCAGGAAGGAGAGGCAAGGGGGAAGCAGAGGAAGCCCATGAAGAGAAAGGTCAGAGGGAGGAGGCAGGAAGCCGGAGCTGACCTCTCTCTGCCAGGCTCAGATAACAGACAAATACTGTCACACCTTAGTCAGAAACTTAACTGACCGCTCAGAACCAAACTCTACTTTCAGCATGAGGTAAAATGGGATGGAGGAGCTCTGCCTGGGAAATACCATGAGGTCTTAGGGGACCCAGTCCAAGTTAGGGACATGGTGCTCAGAAAGAAACACTGAGAATGTCTCCATGAAATGGAGACTTCATGCTCCCCCTGAAGCCTGACACACAGCAGGTTCTCAACAAGAACTGCTGACTGCTCTTAGTCCCCTACTGTGGGTCTCCAAAGAGACAGCTCTTGGAGGAGGCTGAATCAACACGTGTCTACCCAACAAGAGGAGAAACTGACAGCCTCAATGTAGCCGGCCTGAGTCGTGTCAGCGCTAGGGCAAACCTTTCGATTCAACACAAGAAAAACTAATCCTGGAAAGCAGCCACCTTAGTCTGGGTTCAAAAAAGGGCCCATTTGTCTTGGCAGGTTCATAGGAGTTCTTGCCCTGAGGCTGAGGCCTGGCCAGAATGACTCCAGGAGGCCCTTCCCTGCCTTAGAATTCCGTGATTCTATGACATGGCCAGCAGTCTGAAGTGGCAAACTGTGGGTGTCCCCAGCAGAGAGCCAAGGAGGTCTATGTCATCTACCTCCTAAGAGCCAGGGTAAGAGAGAAAGAACCCTACAGCAGTCAGATAGGGTACCACAGACCAGGAAGGGGAGGGCACTTGAGCTGGGGCAGCCAGCTCTCTCTTCTTGTTTTTCTAAAATGGGGGATGAGGTGGGGTTGGGCCAGGCAGGGAAGACAGGCCAGGGCTTGGACATTCCACCCATTTTAGACCCAAAAGACAAGGGCAGCTGAGGGGCCGGGGCAGCGAGAGGGATTTGCAGCTGTTTTCTGGGTGGGGCAGGCTCAATTACTGCTCTGTTGGCACCAAGCAAATATCAGAAGTCAGGCAGAGCTGGTAGTAGTGGGGGCGGAGGACTGGACAGTATTGAAGACCCATGGGAGCAAAAGGGAACTACAGGGACTTCAAAACCCAGGGACAGGACAGGGCAAAGGGAACTACAGGGACTTCATTACTCAGGGACAGGACACAACTTAAAGGAATCAGCATGTCTGTGGCCTGGCCAGGTTTAGGCTCCATAAAATGCCTACTTCAGGATCAGAAAGAGTGGGAACTCTGCGTCTCTCTGTTCAAGCGGGGCAAATGAAGAAATCCCATACTGTCAGAGAAGTTTAGAACCAAACAACCTGGCAGGATTTTTGAGATTCATGTAGCCCAGGATGGCTTTGAAATCACTATGTGGCTAAGGCAGCCCTTGAACTCTCTCTCCTTTGTGCTGGGAGTAGGTGCTCCGTCACCTGAGACTAGACTACTGCTTTCCCCCCTTACATGGCAGTCTGTAAGATGGGGGAGGTAAAGGACCGAGTGCAGAGATGGAGTCGACAGCATGGGGTCTGGGAGCGATGACTTGTGCTCGTTAGCACTGTGGGTTAGCCTTTGGGTGTCATCTAAGGCCGTCTCTGTTTCATTCAACATTAGAGACTCTGTCGTTTGGCTTTTGTGGTCTACTGGGGTCCCTGCTCTGGAGTTTGAGAAATGAGGTCTCAGCAGGCTGCCCCATGTTTCCCAGAGAGGCAGCCCTCTCTCTAGCTCCTGCCGCCGTCGTCAGGTCTTGGACACAATGATCACCCTGCCTTTCTCCTCACTTCTCATGCTTCTCTTGTGCTTTCTGGAGAAGTTCTGAGCCTGGGAGGAGAAGGGAGAGAGGGCAGCAGAGGAAGCCCATGAAGAGGAAGGTCAGAGGGAGGTGACAGGGAGCCAGAGCTGACCTTACTCTCTCTTTGGCAGGTCCAGGTAACCAAACAAACACCTCAGAAACCTGTCCCAGCCAAGATGTCTGGACGCCAGGTGAGTCGATCCAATACTTACAGCCATTTGAGCCATCCCAGCAATGCTTCCTTTCCTCCCCGAACTCCAGGCTGGACGCAGTACTCCAATATGAACAATGTCAAGGGCTCGAGTACCCGTTTCCCAAGCGGCTCTGAGTTCAGCACCCCTAGCGGCCCCTCCGAGCAGTCCTTCGGCTCTGCCTCCACAAGTCTTCATGAGGGGAGAATCTGCATGGGCCAGCCCTATAACTCCAGGTGTGTAGAGCCCAGTCACCTGGTGAAGGGCCCCAAGGTGGCCAAAAAGCCTGCTTCTCAACGCAGCAACCCTCAATGCCTGCTCTGCACAGACCGTCCATCAAGCCCCTCCAGCCCTACCTTCCTGGACCAACTCATCAAAGGCATCAACTACCTGGACAGATCCACCAACATTTTCAGCAGCGGCTACCCCAAAGCTCTGAGCTTGCCTCACCTGGCGGCCACCTGCCTGGAACGAGCTGCCAACTCGCTCTACCTGGACCCAGTGGACCAGGCCCCACCCCGCAGCTATTCTACTCCCAGCACAAACATAACCACCGCCTCCCATCACTATCCAACCAACAGCTGCCTGGTCCCCTCCAACCGGGACACCAGCTCACTGCAGTGTGTGGGTGGTTCCCCTGGCCTGAGCTGCCAACACCAGGTTCATAACCAGAGCTTCTCTGCCGAGATGCCTCAGAGGCAAGGTGTAAAACTTCCAGAGATCCCTCTGTTTGGCAATGGGTTCTTTTCCTTAGGTCGTCTGCCCAAGGTCTGGGAAGCAATACGCTCTGGATGGAATGCCCCTGAACCCACCTCTAAGCCCGAGGGCTGGTGGTGACATGGATGCCAATTTTGTCCAGTGGGCACTGGCCACAGTGTGGAAATAAATTATCATAAGACAAACCAGGGGTTCTGATTTTTTTCCTCCCAAAATGGAGTCTCAACTCTGTTGCTCAGGCTGGACCCCCTGACACAAGCACCCCATTTCCCTTTTTTAAATTTTGAGACAAGGTTGTCCTAGTCAGGGTCCCTAGGCCTGTGATGAAACACCATGACCAAAAGCAGCTTGGGGAGGAGAGGGTTTATTTGACTGACACTTCCACATCACTGTTCATCACTGAAGGAAGTCAGGTCAGGACCTAAAGCAGGGCAGGAACCCGGAGGGAGGAGCTGATGTAGAGGCCTTGGAGGGACGCTGCTTACTGGTTTGCTCCTTGTAGCTTGCTTGACCTGCTTTCATTCAGAACCCAGGCCCACCAGCCCAAAGTGTTCCCACCCACAAGGGGTTGGGCCCTCCTGCATTGACAACTAAGAATTGGCCTACAGGTTTGTCTATGGCCAAATCCTACAGAGGCGTTTTCTCAGTTGAGGTTCCTTCCTCTCAGATGACTATAGGCTGTGTAAAGTTGATCTAAAAACCTCACCAGCCCGAGGGTCTTATATAGCTCAGGCTGTTCTCAAATTCTATGTAGCCAAGGATGACCTAAAACTCCTGCTCCCCCTGCCTTTACCTCTAGAGTGCTGGGATTACAGATAGATACTGCCAGAGTTGGTTTATGTAATGGTTGGGATCAAACTCAAGGCCTAATGCATGCTACCCACTGAGCTAGAGCCCTTGTCCCCAAAGGCCATTTTTCTAGCCCCGATACTCTATTGGCTAAGAGGTGTGAACAAGCTTCTGTTTGAGATTTTTTTTTTTCTTTTTTGAGATAAGGTTTCTTTGTAGCTTTGGAGCCTGTCCTGGAACTCATTCTGTAGACCAGGCTGGCCTCAAACTCACAGAGATCTGCCTGCCTCTGCCTCCCAAGCACTGGGATTTAAGGCACACAGCACCACCACCTGGTGAAATCTGATTTTTAAAATTACAGTGTGTGTGTGTGTGTGTGTGTGTGTGTGTGTGCACTTGCACTCATTCTACTGCGTAAGAACAGAAATCAGAGGATAACTTGCAGAAGTCAGTTCTCTCCTAACGTACGAGTCTAGCTGGGATTGAACTCGGGTCCTCAGGCTTAGCCGCAAGCGCCTCTACCTGCTGAGCCATCTCACCAGGTCCTGATTTTTTTTTTTCCAATGTTAGGAACAAAGGTACAAATGTCACAGTGCCCTCTGAATGAACAAAAATGACTTGCAGGGTGAGTGGAAAGCCCACTAATCTCAGAAATCTCCAGCTCGTCTCTCTCGTAGAACTGTTACTACAATGGTGGGAGCTGTTCTCATCTCTGCTCTTTTTTGAGGCAGGGTCTCATGTAGCCCAGGCTGGCCCAAGAACTCCGGAGTTAGTTCTGTGATAACACCTGAACCACTGAGCCAGACTCAACATTATGTGTCCTCCTTCACACGGACACAACAGACCTTTTTGATGGCAGCCAGACTTCTCCGTGGGAGGGAGGCGACCCTGCTGGGTGCTCTCTGAAGTGACCAAGTCCATCCGGACTGGATTGGGCTCGATGGGGTTAGGATGAGGTGATCTTTCCTTCAGCTACCTTGAATGTCTGGGAAGATATTGCCTGGGCTGCCGATGACTCAGATCCCAACTGATTTAGATTCAGGGATATCAGCCCCATATGGAACCTAGCTACCCCCGAGGCCTCGGATCCTCCGCTCCGCCCTCCAGGTCTGTTTTCCCCATCTGCATTGAATGTATAGCTTCAGTGATCTATGTGCCCCTGGACTCGTGTTCCTGAGTGTGTCCTCTTGTCCCAGACCAGGCCTGGAGCCTCTTAGACTGAGAACCGAGAGTGATCCACACAAACACTAGTTCCTGGGTCCCCATTCATCTTGCTTGGGCTTCCCATCAGTCACTGCCCACCTTAGTGCCCAATTCTGTCTGACTGGAGATTTGAGATCTTGTCTTTATTGTTGACACTCTCGTCTCCCTGGCAACATGAAGGCCAACAGCATCTCTGAGTATAGAATGGGGATGCTTGAGAAAATACAGAGAACTTCGAGGCTCCCAAAATTCCTTTGTGCTTAGAAACAACAGTGACCTGCTGAAGCCTCTGTTTGGCAAGTTCTTATGGTCAAGCACAGAGGGTAACCGACCAAGAATCCCCCTCATGGGAGCACAAGGACAGGAGGAAGGAGAAAGGAGCCATCAAGCTTCTGGTCCTTTGAGTTCATGGATTCACTTCTGTTTTTGATTCCTTCTTTGGCTCAGGGCTCAGCATGCAGCAATCTCAGTTCTCTGTCCCTTATTCCTCTCCTCCCCAGCATAAGATGCCCACTTAGTCCACACTGACCAGCTTCCCTTCCCCCGATGGACAATCACAGGAACAGTTTGCCACAATCCTTTCTGCTCTAGCATGAGAAACAGAGCTGACTTTGGTGCCCTCTCAGCAGCTGCTCAAAGCCGCCACTGTCTGGACCCGGGTCAGTGCTCCTCTGGCTCTGAGGCAGGCAGAAGAGCAGGCTACACTCCTGGCTTTTCTAGAAATGTTCCCCTCCAAAAAGGTCCAGTTTCCTTGAATTGGAGTGCAGGTCTCTCTCTCTCTCTCTCTCTCTCTCTCTCTCTCTCTCGACATTTGTCTCTCTTGACATTACCAGCACCTGACCCAGTCTGGCTCACAGTAAATCCTTTTTATAATGTTAGTGGATGCTGGACCTCGTGGTCAACAGGTGCTCCATAATGGTGACATTGCTCCCCTCAGAAGTATGACAGAGCCTTACTTGTGGATGTTCAGTAACTCATGCTATTAATAACACCAGTCAACATTCATTTAACTCGTTTTTGTTTTTGGTTTTTCGAGACAGGGTTTCTCTGTAGCTTTTGGAGCCTGTCCTGGAACTAGCTCTTGTAGACCAGGTTGGCTTCGAACCCACAGAGATCTGCCTGCCTCTGCCTCTGCCTCCTGAGTGCTGGGATTAAAGGAGTGTACCACCACCGCCTGGCTCTATTTAACTCTTAATTATGTGCCAGGCACTATCTAAAGTGCTTTGGTTATATTCAATTCTTTCAAAAGGAAGATAGCTCTTCATGATGTTACAAAAACAAAGAAAAGTAACTCTATTCTTCTTTTCCTGTCGCTTTGATGACTGGCAACCATGTAGGGAGAAAGGGTTTCTTTCCGCTCACAGTTCAAGGTGCAACCCATCGTGTTAGGAAAGTCAAAACAGTAGGAGTTTGAAGCAGATGGTCCCACTGAGTCCACAGTCAGGATAAACAGAAGGATGGATGAAGTGTCACTGTCACCAGGCTTCCCCTCGCTTTTTTGTGCAGTCCAGGGTCCTCGGCCAGGAGAGTGGTCCTGCCTACAGCTACGGCAAACTAGTAAAAACCATTTGAATGAGTGCAAAGGAGACTAAGGTCTGACCCTTCCGTAAGAAACACAGCAGACAGCGACAAATCCAATAAGATGACATGCCTCCATGCTGTGGAGTTAGGTTCAAAATGGTTCCTTTTAATCTTCCTTTTTAGTTCAAAGACTGGAGTCAGGACCTTACGCTAGCAGAGCACTTTGAGCACTTTGACTCTGAACTATAGGACAAGTTACAGGCTGACTTTGAACTCACGGTCTTCCTATCTCAGCTTCCCAAGCATCCGGGACTACAAGCCTGGAACTCACTATGTAGACCAGGTTACTCCAGAACTCACAGAGATCCACCCGCCTCTTCCTCCTGAGTCCTGACATTAAAGGATATACCATCATGCTGCAACTTCTCTGTTAGAACAAGAAGAATTGTTCATCTAGTAACCAATCACTAAATTTTGACTTGAAAGAGACTGCGTTTTTCTTTAAAACAACAGAAGAAGCTAGAGGTAATAGCATGTACCCGTAATCACAGAGGCGAGCCTGGGCTAAGAGACCCTTTCTTCAAAACAACCAAGAAAAGTATCTGGGGGAAAAAGTGTCAGAAAAGTATGCACGTGTCGAAGAACAAAATATGTTGAGTCCCTAAAATGCAGACATCTCAGGGCCGTGACTCAGTTTCACCTAACTTAGGCCTATGTCAGGAGTAGAACTGAGACCAGGAGCTGCGGCACCATGGCTCCATTTGCATCCCCACGCTCTTCCCAGGCACTAGGAAAGGAAGCGACAACGGCTTGGCCTGACCTCTGAAGCCCTAAGCGAACGCACTGGCTACACCTAGCCATTTAATCACCACATTGACTCTTTAAGGAAAGCACTGGTGCCATTTTGTGGAACAGGACACCGTGGCACAGAGGGACCTGGTGTAAATCATTTCAATCAGGTGCCTGGAACTCAGCGGCTTCCAGAGCCTCCTTGGCATCATCAGAGGGCACTGCATCAGGAATGAGTATGCCGTCATCTTCATCTTCATGATGACACTGGAAAGGAGCAGGCGCTCTGCGAATGCACACAGTGGTTACATAACGCACGCCACATATCGTCAGAGAACCCAGTGCGTAGTAGGTGCTCAGGTGAAGTTTGCCCATTGCCTGGAAATTAGATTACATCCTGTAGGGACAGGATCTCTGCCCTTGATCCAAACTGCTCCCTGGGATGGGTGCCCACTAGTCACAAGTCCCTTCTACAGGCTATTGAACCCAAGCCTAGAGAAAATAAACATATTCTAGAAGGTCCCCTGTTCCTTCCAGTCGTGCTGAAGCTACAGGAGGTCCCCCCACCTGCAGGAGCCATGTAAACAGGAAGCAGCATGCCTGCAGCGGAACAATGCTGTGGCCTCCTGGGCTGGGTGACAGCTTGGCTGGGAGAGGTCAAGAAAGTCCTTTGCACCTGCTGCACTGTGCCAGTGTTGGGGGGCATTCCCACTGTTTACCAGGCTTGAATTGGGGTCCCGGCAGGCTTTCTTTTTCCTGTGTGTATATGTACACGAACAAGTCCCGTGGCACACGTGTGTGGGTGAGAGGACAGCTCGTGGGAGTTCTCGCCTTCTATCAAGTGGGT